AATTTTTATATGGTTTGCGATTCGACCCAAAATCACCTATTGAACTTCATTTTTGAGGAAAGTTGTCAAGGAGAAAAATGTTCCTCATCAAATTCCACTATGGGTCTCCGACAAAACTAAATCTGCAGACATAAGGAATATAGGAAAGAAAACGGTTCCAAAATGGCCATATATTATATTTTCCCAGTATATTTTTTTATTAATTTTACAAGGGTTTCTATTTGAATCAAAATCTCCCATTGAGCTACATTTTTGGGCAAAGTTATCAAAGCGAAAAAGATTCGTTATCGAATACCCTAATAGGTCATCAACCACATTATGACTGCATATATAGCGCATATAGGGGATATATCAGTTCCAAAATGGCCATTATAAATTATTTCAATGTATATATATTTTTTCTAATAAATTTTATAAGGTTCTCGATTTCACCAAAAATCTCGCATTATATATGATTTTTGAGGAAAGTTGTCAAAGAGAAAAATGTTCCTTATCAAATTCCACTATAGGTCCCCGACCACACTAAGTTAGCATATATAACGCATATAGGGAGAAAATCAGTTCCAAATATCCCATATATTAAATTATTCTAAATTAGCTTTTTCTATTAATTTTTACATGGTTTGCGATTCGACCCAAAATCACGTATTGAAATTCATTTTTGAGGAAAGTTGTCAAGGAGAAAAATGTTCCCCATCAAATTCCACTATGGGTTCCCGAACAAACTAAGTCTGCATATCTAACACATATATGAAAAAAAAATCGATTGCAGTATATCCACATACTATATTATTTTAAAATAAGAATACATTTATGAATTTAACATTTTAAGGGGGCTGGCATTTGTCTCAATTTGTTTTCTTTTTTTAATTTTTAAGGAATACTGTTTATGAAATTTTATATTATTTTATTTTTATTTCATTTTAAATTTAAACAAATTTGGCATAAAACTCTCAAAATAAACTTCAAATTTTGTAAAAATACATCAATATTCTATTTTACCTCTTCTTTTAATTACCATCCAAAAATAACACATTTCGTTGTTGTTGTTGCTATATCGAGCGATTTATTTTGTAATAGCCTCCACACACCCACACTCCTTTTTGACACAATCACAATTTCACTTTGTTTTAATCTTTAATAACAAATATTAAATGCTATTGATGGCAGTAAATCGTTGCATGACATACATTTCCAATTTCAATATCACTCTATCGAAACACACACACATACACTCCCCGCACATCCTATCCCCCGTTACACCAAAACAAAAAAAAACAAAAAAATTCCCACCAATGGCTGGCTGAAAGGTTGAACGTTGGTCAATTTGTGTGTCTGGAGTTGAAGAGGTTGGAGTTGTGATAGTGTTTGGAAAAAGTTACGCACAAATTAAATTTTCTCCTACCTCCCCCCCCCCCCCTCTCACCCACCTCAGTCTACTTTTGCTGTTATCCTTGATCAATAACAATGCAATCCTTTCCATTAGCTCCAAAAAAAAACAGAAAAACACAAAATTGAAGCTCACCCAATTCGCCATTCATTGGAACCGGACAATCACATAAATATTCATATTTACTTGAAGCACACATTTTTGTAAAACCGCCAATACACACATGTTTACATATTTATGTCAGATGATTTTTGATTGATGACTTTTTTTCTGTGGGGAGGGGGTGGGGGGACGTTATCTTAATGTCTGATATAAATACATATATCTGTGGAGGGTGGTCTCTTAAATAATGTTTTTGGGGGAAAAACATTTTCGAATATAACGAAAATATTGTAATTTTTCTTGGACTCAATCGTGATCGTGTCGTGGATTTTTATAAAAATATTTTCTTTAAATTTCAACAGTCGTGCATTTTTATAAAAATATTTTTATTAAATTTCAACAGTCGTGGATTTTTATAAAAATATTTTGATCAAATTTCAACAGTCATGGATTTTTATAAAAATATTTTTTCTAATATCCGACCTGGATTTTTATAAAAATATTTTTCGCGAATATCCGTTGTGGATTTTTACAAAAAAGTTTTTCTTCGTGGATTTTTATAAAAATATTTTCTCGAATATCCTCGTGGATTTTTATAAAAATATTTTCTCGAATATCCTCGTGGATTTTTATAAAAATATTTTCTCGAATATCCTCGTGGATTTTTATAAAAATATTTTCTCGAATATCCTCGTAGATTTTTATAAAAATATTTTCCTCGAATATAAACATACGTGGAATTTTATAAAAATATTTTTTTTTTTCAAATTTCATCTGTCGTGAATTTTTATAAAAATTATTTCCTCAAATGTCTTCGTCGTGGATTTTTACAAAAATTATTTCCTCAAATTTCCACAGTCGTGAATTTTTATAAAAATATTTTCCTCAAATTTCAACAGTCGTAAAATTTTTATAAAAATATTTTTCTCAAATTTCAGCAGTCGTAGATTTTTACAAAAAATATTTTCCTCAGTTTTTAAATGTCGTGAATTTTTACCAAAATATTGTGGATTTTTACAAATAAATATTTTCCTCAAATTTCAACAGTCGTGGATTTTTACCAAAAATATTTTCCTCAAATTATAAAAGTCTTGGATTTTTATAAAAAAAAAATGTTCTCAAATTTCAACAGTCGTGGATTTTAATAAAAATATTTTTCTTAACTTTCAACAGCCGTGGATTTTTATAAAAAATATTTTTCTTAACTTTCAACAGTCGTGGATTTTTATAAAAATATTTTTCTTAACTTTCAACAGTCGTGGGTTTTTATAAAAATATTTTTCTTAACTTTCAACAGTCGTGGATTTTTATAAAAATATTTTTCTCAACTTTCAACAGTCGTGGATTTTTATAAAAATATTTTTCTTAACTTTCAACAGTCGTGGATTTTTATAAAAATATTTTTCTTAACTTTCAACAGTCGTGGATTTTTATAAAATATTTTTCTTAACTTTCAACAGCCGTGGATTTTTATAAAAATATTTTTCTTAACTTTCAACAGTCGTGGATTTTTATAAAAATATTTTTCTTAACTTTCAACTCAATAAATCCCCCACTGTACTTCATTCTTGGGGATCGTTGTCAAAGAAAAAAATATTCCTCATCAAATTCCACTATGGTTCCCCGACCACACTAAGTTAGCATACATAACGCATATTGGAGGAAATCAGTTCCAAATATCCGATATACTAAATTATTTTAACATAATTTATCCTGATAAATTATATAAGGTTTTCGATTTGGTTCAAAATCTCCCATTATACTTCATTTTTGTGGGATATTGTTAAGGAGAAATTTGTTCCTTATCAAATTCCACCATGGGTCACAAACCAAACTATGTCGCTATATATGACATATATAGGGAAAAAATCGGTTCCAAAATGGCCATATACTTTATTATTTTAGCAAAAATTTTCATGATTAATTTTATAAGGGTTACGCTTTGACCCAAAATCTCCCATTGAACATTTTTTTGGGGGAAAGTTGTGAAAGAAAAAAATGTTCCTCATCAAATTCCACCATGGGTCGCCAACCAAACTAAGTCGACATATATAAAGTATATAGGAAAAAAATCAGTTCCAAATATCCCATATACTAAATTATTTTAATGTAATTTATCCTAATAAATTATATAAGGTTTTCGTTTTGGCTCAAAATCTCCCATTGTACTTCATTTTTGTGGGACACTGTTAAGGAGAAAAATGTTCCTTATCAAATTCCACCATGGGTGCCCAACCAAACCAAGACCACATATATAACGCATATAGGGAAAAATCAGTCCCAAATATCCATATACTAAATAATTTTAAAATAATTTTTCCTAATAAATTTAAAATGGTACTAGATTTAACCCGAAATCTCCCACTGTGCTTCATTTTTGAGGAAAGTTGTCAAAGAGAAAAATATTCCCTATCAAATTTCACTATAGGTCCCCGACCAAACTAAGTCTACATATATAATGCATATAGGGAAAAATCAGTTCCAAATATCCCATATACTAAATAATTTTAAAATAGTTTTTCCTAATAAATTTAAAAAGGTTCTCGGTTTGACTCAAAATCTCCCATTGTACTTCATTTTTGTGGTATACTGTTAAGGAGAAAAATGTTCCTCATCAAATTTCACTATGGATCCCCAACCAAACCAAGTCTGCATATATAAGGTATATAGGGAAGAAATCGGTTCCAAAATGGCCATATACTTTATTATTTTAGTACAATTTTTCGTGATTAATTTTATAAGGTTTTAAGTTTGGCTCAAAATCTCCCATTGAAACAACTTTTTGGGAAAAGTTGTCAAAGAGAAAAATGTTCCTCATCAAATTCCACTCTGGGCCTCCAACCGAACTAAGTCTACATATATAACGTATATAAGGAAAAATCCGTTCCAAATATCCCATATACTAAATAATTTTAAAATAGTTTTTCCTAATAAATTTAAAAAGGTTCTCGATTTGACTCAAAATCTCCCAGTGTGCTTCACTTTTGACGAAAGTTGTCAAAGGAAAAAATGTTGCTCATTTAATTCCACTATAGGTCCCCGACCACACTAAGTTTCCATATCAAAGACATATATGAAAAAAAAATCGATTGCAGAATAACATTTATGAATTTAACATTTTAAAAATCCATCCCATCATTTCCTCTCTCTCTCTCACCCCCACTCTCATTGACCAATAATTAATCCTTTATCCTTTTTTGGTTTTTCATCACACGAAATACTTGATTACATATGTCCAAGTATGTGTGTAGGTGTCATCGTGTGTGTGTGCCCTGTTTGTAATATTTTAATTGTGCTAAGATAAAATCTACAATAAAAGCGTCAATATTTGTGATGGCTAGGAGGGGGAGGCGCTTAAACATTGAGAACTTTTTTTTGGACATTCATCTACGATTTTTTTTGTGTTTGACAAACATCAACATTGAAATTTATGCCTTTAATTTATGAATAGCAATATTTCAATAAAATATTTATTTATAATATTTTTTGTTTTCTATTTTCTTTGCAGGTATGTAAAGTGGAAACGAATATTAAGAGAGATATTTGAATGAAAAAAATTAAACGGAGTGAGTTGTGTTGGAATATAATTTTTTAAAAAAATATTTGAGGGTGGGAATTAATTAATTTATTTTATTTTATTTTTCTTTTTTTTTTGAAAATTTTAAAATTCTGATTTTAAAAAAAGAAATTGAAAAAACTAAAAAAAAAAATTGGAAAAAAATTAAAGAAAATTCTGATAATAAATAAAAAAATATTTAAAATTCATTTTAGCAAAATAATTATATTCTGATAAACTTCCACTGCTCAAAAGGAAATTTTGAAAAAAATTAAAAAAAAAAATAAAAAAAATTCGGAAAATTAATTTTAAAAAAATGTTAAAAAATAATTTTAGCCAAATACTTATACTTTGATTATCTTCCTTTGCTTTAAAGGAAATTGTTGAAAAAAATGAAAAAAAAAAAAAAAAAAATTGAAAAAAAAAATTTAAAAAAAAAATTATTTAAATTAAATTATTTAAAATCATTCTAGTAAAATAATTATTCTTTGATAATCTTCATTTGCTCAAAAGGAAATGGTCATGGTAGCTTCCAACCAGACACCAAAAGAAAAAAACATTAGCTTTATTCCCTACCCTTTCCCTACCCTTTCCCTTTTTTCGAGTTTCCATTTCTGTTTCGACTCAAGTCCCACGAATTATTGTTGTTTACAACTACATTGTGGAGTAATCAAAACAAACCGAAAGACCTTTATGGCAAGGGAAGGAGAGTAGTTAGCCCCCTTTCCCTGTCTTGTGGTTGGCATTGCATTCATTGTTTCATTCCGAGAACAAAAAATTTTGTTTTCGGATGCCTTCTTCCATTGAGACAAGTGAAAAGACACACGCCATGGTGCCAGACACCATGTGACACCGTGGAGTAAGAGATTTTAAGCTGTTCCTCTCGTTGAGACAAAACAAACCGTCACAAACTCACTCACTCACATACACACACAATCGTATTCGAATTGTTTTGTTAACAAACAAACAACAAATCCGTGGCCATTTTTCCCTTCTTCTTCTTCTCTTTCTCTGCCAGAAATGGGAACAGGAAAACCACGTTAGGAGACAAAATAGCCAGAGTAGGTTTGTAATTGTTTGGAAACTGAAACTCATTAAACAATGGTCTTCCTTAGTTTTCCAGTTCGAATTAACCCACTGGGGGTGAGAAATGAAAAGGAAATAAAAAAATGTAATGCATACTTTTAGGCTCATTTAAGATAAAATGTTCTCAGAGTCAAGTTCTCAGAGTCGTGGATTTTTTTAAAAATAATTTTCGAAACTTCCAGAATTATCAACAGCTAAGGAATTTTTTTAAAATATTTTTTAGAATTTAAAAAAGTCGTGGAATTATTTAAAAAACAATTAACAATTATTTATAAAAACAACAATAAAAGGATAAATTAATAATAATTAATTGAAATTAATAATTTTGCAACAACAAAATACTACGGTATCCCAAACAAACAAGCCAACACTGTTCTATTATTTAAAAACAATTTTTAAAACCATCAACAGTTGTGGAAGTTTTAAACAATATTTTTCTGAATTTTCAGTAGCCATGGATATATTTTGAAATAGTTGCGGAATTTTTCAAAAATATTTTTTAGAATCTTGAACGGAAGTGAAATTATTTAAAAATACTTTTTTAGAACCTTCAACTGTTGCGGAATTATTTCAAAATGTTTTGTCAGAATTTTCAATGCTCTTGAAATAATTTAAAAATATTTTTTTAAACCTTCGAAAGTTGTGGAGTTTTTTAGAAATATATTTTAGGATTTTCCGTAGTCGTGAAATTATTAAAAAATATTTTAAAGAATTTTCAGAAGTCAAAATATTCAAACAACATTTTTAAATTTTTTTCAATAAATGCGGAACTTTTAAAGATTTCTTTCAGAATTTTCAATGATCGTGTAATTATTTAACATATTTTTTTTAGAATTTACCGTCGACGTAATTATTTTTAATTTTTTTTTTCAACAAATGCTGATTTTTTTAAAAATAATTTTTAAAACTTTCAACTGTTCCGGAATTATTTAAAAATATTTTTCAGGATTTTTAATGGTCTTGAAATCATTTAATTTGTTTTTAATCTTTTAACAGCTGTGGATTTTTTTAAAAATATTTTTTATATCTTTTAACAGCTGTGGATTCTTTTAAAAATACTTTTTTTTGAATTTTCAGTCGTCGTAATTATTTTTAAAAATATTTTTCAAAAAAATGCAGATTTTCTTATTTTATATTCTTTAGAATTTTCAGTAGTCGTGAGATTATTTAAAAATATGACCTAAAATAACCGAAGATAATTTTTTTTTCAGAATTTTCAGTAGTCGTGAAATTATTTAAAAATAATTTTCAAAATTTTCAATTGTCGTAAAATTATTTAATTTTGTTTTAAATATTAGTTTTTTTTTTTTTTTTTTTTGACAAATGCCGAATTTTTTAAAAATATTTCTTAGAATTTTCAAAAATTCTGCGATTATTTAAAATGCAAAATTTATTAAAAATATTTTTTGGAATTTTAAGTAGTCGTGGAATTATTTAAAAATATTTTTTTTTAAATTTTCAACAGCCCTGAAAATCTATAAAAATATTTGCCAAAACTCCCAACAATCGTAAAATTATTTAAACATATTTTTCGAAACCTTTCAATAGTTGTGGAATTTTTTAAAAATATTCTTCAGAATTTTCAATGGTCCTAGAATTATTTAAAAATACTTTTTAGAATATTAGTCTTCAAAATTATTTTTAATTTTTTTTCAACAAACGCCGATTTTTTAGAATTTTCAATAGTCTTGGAATTGTTTAAAATGCGGAATTTTTTAAAAATATTTTTCAGAATTTTAAGTGGTTGTGGAATTATTTAAAAATATATTTTTTTAAATTTTCAACAGCCGTGAAGACTCAAGACTCCCAACAATCGTGAAATTACTTAAACAAATTTTCTAAGACTTACAATGGAGTGGAGTTTTTTAAAAATATTTTTCAGAATTTTCAATGGTCATGGAATTATCTAAAAATACTTTTTAGAATATCAGTCGTCGAAATTATTATTTCAAAAATTTCAATAGTCCTGGAATTATTAAAAATGCCAAATTTATTAAAAATATTTTCCAGAATTTTCAACAGTCTTTTAATTATTTTAAAATATTTTTTTAAAACTTTAAACAGCCGTGAAATTTTATAAAAATATTTTTCAGAGACTCCCAACAATTGAGAAATTACTCAAAAATGTTTTTCTAAGCATTACAATAGTCGTGGAATTTTTTAAAAGTATTTTTCGGAATTTTCAACGGTAGTGGAATTATTTAAAAATGTTTTTCGGAATTTTAATCGTCGAAATTATTTTTAGAATTTTCAATAGTCCTGTAATTATTACAAATTGACTGATTGTCTTTCTGTCTGTTGCAAAAACAATTTTTCGACCATGGGTATCGTATGATTGACGTCAGTAGGTATACGCAACATATGCCCAGATCCCCCAAAGGGTTATAATCACCAAACTCTTCTAAAAAAGACCCATCACAGTAAGTCACAAAACTAACCACATTTAAAACCGGAAAAGCAGACACTTCATGTTCTCCTTTCACAAATATGAGCATGCACATCCTTACGTGTATACACACACATATATATGTTCGTACACATGTCTCTATGTGCTCGATGTCCTTGCCTGCATACTTTCGCTGCAAAACCAAAAAGGCAACAACAATAATTTGTTGACCAATCCAAAAGACTGCAAAAAATATTTCTATGCGTTGCAACTCCTAAAAGGCTGCAATGGAAAAAAATAGATATACAAAATTTGCACCGTTAAAATCGTGTTCTCTACACAATGGCCATCCCGGGAACCATACACAACAATGACTGATTGTCTGTCTGTTGGTTCGGAAAACCACAGCAATGTTTGTCAGCTCTCTGCTCCTCAGCTATGGCAGCCAAGAGTAGGCGACAAACACTTAACTTAAAAAGTCCTGGACAAAGTGTTGATATAAGAGTTCACAGGATACTTGTAAAACCAAACCCCACCCTGCGATATGTTTTCCTACATACATATGTACACACATATGTAAGTATGGATAGCTTGTTGCATGACACTTGAATTTATGTGGCAAGTATTGCAGGTGAATGGGATACCTTTCCCCTGTCCTTGCCATGGGAAGTCCTTCCCCCCATACCACCAAATTTTGTGTGTGTGTTTATTTGTTCTGTGATTGATGTGTCATTGTGCTGCTTTCATAAGAATCAAGTAAAAGAAATTTCGCTAGCTTGTAGCTTGTCATTCCAGCTGGAGAAGAAAGCCCAACCATTTGGTTTGTAAATATTTTGTTACAAAAAAAAAATCAAACGATGTCAAATCGAATTATAAACAAACAAGAAACGATTTGTAAGACGTCTTTTATATTCGAAAATAAATTTGGGAATTATATGTTTTTTTTCGGTGGCCTAAAAATAGGCAACATTTTTCTTTGCTTTTCAGCAATATGTTTCCTCAATAAAAAAATCGAAAAATTCGAAACTAGTTTTTAAAAAGGTTGTCAATAATATTTTTTATAAAAAGCTCACATTTTTGGCCACTCAGGTACTCAAAAACATTCTAAGTTCTTCACCTAAAATTTCATTTAAAAATTTGAGAATATATTTTTGGAAAAATTTAAAAATATATTTTTTTATTTTTTAATGTTAATTTTATTTTAAATGATAAAATGATTAAATGACGGATTTTCCTGAACGTTTTACTTTTTTTTTTGGAAAATTTTAAAATTTTGGAATCTTTTTATTTTTTTTTTTTTAATATTTTAAAAATATGAAAATCATTCTTAATATATGTCTTACAAAAAAAAAAAAAAAAGAAAGTGCTTCACCAAAAAATTTAAAAGTATTTTACTTTTTATTTGAATATTATCATTTTAAAAATTTAAAAATATTTCTTTTTAAATTTTTTATTGGGGTGTTTAATTTTTTAATGTAACCATATCATTACAGCTAAATTAAA